TAAAGGTGAAAAGTGAAAATAAAATTAAAATAAAATTGCATTTTTCTTCATTTTCTTCATGATAAATCCGTTTCTTCAAAGCAACAGGCCCCTAAAAGTGAAACATAAACAGCTTTAATAGAAAGAACACGATTCATCGAGTTATTAACCACTTCACCAACACTGAACGACTCTGCTGCGAGTGTGTTAACTACACGCACGCACGCACGCACACACGCACGCACGACTCCACATACAGTGATGAACCAGCAGAGGGCGCTGTAACAACGTGTATCATATCAGCTCCTGTGCTGTTGAAAATAAAGCATGAAGGAGTCTGATGTAGTGGAAACATCTGTGTCAGTGTGTCTTTACGTTTGGAGTCAGTGTGGTGATGAAAGGGACACAATATCATCACTTCCACACTGGACTGCTGCAACAGTCTCATCTACGCTTCATCGTTCAAAAAACTCAAGAAACGACAATATATCCAGAATTCTGCTGCTTGCCTTGCCACACACTCCCCGTCTACACCCGTGACCTCATCACCCCCGTCTTTCATAACCTCAGCTGGCTCCCTATCTTCCAGCGTATCCACTCTAAACTCCTCATAATCACCTGCAAAGTCCTCCCTGACCTGAACTCTAAACTAAACTCTGCATGCAGAGGGGGCTGAGGGTCTTCCAAGATGTTCTTTGTCTTCTGAGTGGCCAAGATCATTCAAGTCAACGCTGACAATGTTTCAGCAAAGTTTAACAATATTTCCCAGTGCTGGTCTGTGATTGTAAAAAGCCTCTAGAAGTTTTATCACGACATACTGTGGCTCATGGGCGGCTGTGGCTCAGTGGTGGAGTCGGTCATATCTTGACTGGAAGGTCGGGGGTTAAGTGACATGTAGCTGAGAGACGAGCAGCCACACTCTGAAGGTCACTCTATCCACTTTAAATGTGTCTCTGTCAACTAAAGTACAGTTCATGTTGTTGTTTGGTCATTACTTGTCGTTATGTAAATGTGTTTACATGTGAACCATCAACCTTTCCAGGGGACTACAGATGGAAGTGTGACATAGTTACCATATTTATGTTCCTTAATGTGCACTGTCCCCCATTTAAAAATAAAATAAATAACTATATCCTTTCTGACCACACGGGGGCAGCATTTGTATACTCAACAGACCCACAAACTTCAGTCAGCTTCAACCACCATGACTTCAAATCCTCCTTCCTCACTACTCACTAATATATAATAAGACACTAAACTACAGCTACGATGACATCATTGTGTTGATATTTTCTTTGTTTGAACAACAGCAGTTTAACAGGATAGTGAAGACAGCCAGCGGAAGTTTTTTTGAGTTGAAAAAATTAATAATAATTATAATAATTGTTTGAATTACAAATAAGGTTTTTCTTTAATTGATTTTTTTTTTTTTTTTTTTTTACTGGCGCCCCTCTCCCATTCCTGCAGGAAACTTAAGGCTCAGTCCCATTTCACCCCTTACCCCCACCACTTAGCACGTTCACATGTAGGGGTAGGGTTGAAGTGTTTGGGCTACTTTGCCCTCTAAAACAGAGTCATCTCCCAGAATGCACTGCGCATCACCGGCAAAAATGACAAATGAGATCTGAAAATGACGACAACATTAACATTAACTTAGTTTGATGATGTTCCAATGAACTGTGCCCCGTTTCTTCAGAAAAGGCATGAAGACAATATTCTTTCCTTTTATGTCATTTCAGCCGATGAACATTAATGACGGATCAGGCTCTTAAAGGGTTGTCTTATAGGGGAAAGATTTCACCACTAGTCTGTTCAAAGGGGTAAAGTGGCACTCCAAAACGAGGGGTAGGGCTAAGTGGTGGGGGTAAGGGGTGAAAAGTGTAACTGAGCCTCACAATCAGCGCTGTGCTCTTAAGGCCTGGGGCTCCAACCACCCGTCTCACAAACTGTTTGACCGCCTCTCGTCAGGCAGAAAGTACCGGAGCATTTCTGCTACATCGAGCAGCATGCCCAACAGTTTCCTTCCACAGGCTGTCAGGATCATTAACAAACTGCCCCCCTCCCCCTCCTCTGTCACACTCCGTATCAGAGGGGCATGTGCTGCACTCACTTTAAATCCACATGAGTCTTTGTGCTACATGTGTTTCTTTCTGTCACACTCCTGAGTGAAACATCAAAGGTAAAAGTTGAAAAGGAAGTCACCAGGTTCAACAACATTTTGTCTTTTTTCTTTTGAAATCTGCAGACATGAGAAAAAAGACAATTACATGGAGTCCTGAATCTTGAACTGTGGTGGGTTTTATGGGTGAAGAGGAGGACAACAGAGGAAGGCGGGGGGTGTAGTGTCCTTCATGTGCTTCAGCAGAAAGGCAGGACAGGCTGTACAGTTTTTTAAGTTAGGAAACAGGATGCCACTACCTGTCAGATCTTCAATATCGATCCAAGCATTCTGCTCGTCCCCCGATCAGAAAGGTTGAGACATCTGCGGAGAGGAGGACAGGTTATGTTTCTTTTTCTGACGGTACAAAAGAAAGGACACAAGTTTTATTTTACATCGCATGTGCTTATGTTCATGACAGTGGATCAGTCTGTAGGGACTTGAGTCTAGAACCAGTTCAAGTCCTGGTGTGGACCAAATCTGGAAGTTGGTCTGGCAGCTGGGGAGGTGCCAGTTCACTTCCTGAGCACTGTTGAGGTGCCCTTGAGCAAGGCATCGAACCCCCACCAGCTCAGGAGTGCTCTCTGTGTGCAGCCCCCCCCCCTCACTCTGACATCTCTCCATCAGTTTGTCCACAGGAGTTTCTGTGTGTGTGTGTGTGTGTGTGTGTGTGTGTGTGTGTGTGTGTGTGTGTGTGTGTGTGTGTGTGTGTGTGTGTGTGTGTGTGTGTGTGTGTGTGTGTGTGTGTGTGTGTAGCATGTTCAACAACAGAGTGTCCAATTTAATTTCCCCTGGCAGGATTATTAAAGTACATTTTATTTTCTTATCGGGGTCGTTTGAACCTTGAACTACTGCTTGAGGAGAAATTAAAATGTCAACAGCTGGTCGTACAGATAAGAGTGAAAAGACATGACGACACACGTGTTGGAACTATAAGGTCTCGTATCGCTCTCATCCTCGTCACCGTGAATTAGACAATCAGAGGAAAAGGGTCTCTTGTGTGAGGGCGATTTTTAAAGCCACAATCAAACATTTAACGCTGATTGCAGATGTGATTATATTCCTGGCAGTTCATTTCAGAGATGTACACCGGATTCTCCTGATTGCCTCCGTTGAAGGGCCTCGCTCAGAGAGGAGCCGAGAGGAGAAGAGAAAAGGAGAGAAGAGGAGAGGAGATGAGGGGAGAGGAGAGGAAAAGAGAAGAGAGGAGAGGAGAAGAAAAGAGGAGAGGAGAGGAGATGAGAGGAGGGGAGAAGAAAAGAAAAGAGAGGAGAGGAGAGGAGAGGAGGGGAGAAGAAAAGAAAGAGAGGAGAGGAGAGGAGAAGAGGAGAGGAGAGAGAGAAAAGAGAAGAGAGGAGAGGAGAAGAAAAGAGGAGAGGAGAGGAGATGAGAAGAAAAGAAAAGAGAAGAAAAGAAAAGAGAAGAGAGGAGAGGAGAGGAGAAGAAAAGAGAAGAGAAGAGAAGAGAGGAGGGGAGAGGAGAGGAGAGGAGAAGAAAAGAAAAGAAAAGAGAGGAGAGGAGAGGAGAGGAGAAGAAAAGAAAAGAGAGGAGAGGAGAGGAGAGGAGAGGAGAGGAGAAGAGGGGAGGGGAGGGGAGAGGAGAAGAAGAGAGGAGAGGAGAGATGAGAAGAAAAGAGAAGAGAGGAGAGGAGAGGAGAGGAGAAGAAAAGAGAGAAGAAGAGGGGAGAGGAGAGGAGAAGAAAAGAGAGAAGAAGAGGGGAGAGGAGAGGAGAAGAAAAGAGAAGAGAGGAGGGGAGAAGAAAAGAGAAGAGAGGAGAGGAGAAGAAAAGAGATCCCCCCCCCCCCCCGAGGCGTTCTGTATAAAACACGTTTCTGCCCGCACTTAATGAATTGACGTCAGACTTTAACTAGGAGAGATGCCTGGAAGGAGCCTCGGATGTTATGATTGAAATTCTAACATCTCTTTATTGAAATGTAAATTTGCAACAAGTGGTTGACGTGATAGAAGCAGGCAGTAATCATGGTGTAACCGCCGCTATGTCAAACTTATCAGAGTGAGAATTAGCTTCATCTCTGTCTGAGTCAGGATTCAGGTTTTTCCCCGCTGCACGTCTGACATCTCAATTATCGCTCCACTACACTCCAGCTCCAAGGATCAGGATCAGAGAACATGAAATTCAACACAACATGAGTGCAATGAGTTACCGAGCTTTGATCGGGAGCTACTTGGATGATGAACTGGTATGAAGGCATCACGCAGTGTTGCAGCACCAGTCTGCTCATGTCGCCGTCCTCCGTTACCGGTTCCGGGGCCAAAGTGAATCCGTCTTCCATGTGCTCCTCCGACATGTCCAGCAACTGTCAGGAAAAAAAGCATAGAATTAAAAAACAGAGCCTGATATCAGAATACACACCTGATTCAGTCATGAAGAAAGAGAATCCATGACAGCTTTATTTAAAGGTCCAGTCAGTAAGATGTGTAGAGAGTGAAATGATAAAGGTATCTTACTGTCTGATCAGACATTAAGGAAACATGCTATGTTGAAGTGCTGGCTTCTCTGACAACAATGCAGCAGCCAGTATGTCCTCCTTCTAACTTTAGATTCTGCTCCTGAATGCTCTGGATTTGTTTGGACCAGAGAAGGTAGGTGGTTTTAAGGCACCCCCACACGGCCGTTTTGGACGCCCCTCTGTTTGTCAGATATGAGAGCAGTTATCAGATCAAACCAACAGGTGTTGCAGTGATGGAAGCGGTCAAGAGAAGTGGTTCAGATAGAAGTGATTGTACCCGACCTAAAAAGCCTCTGCATGTATAAAACTATAAGCTCCACGAGCAGAAACAAGGTTTACAGACCCATGCAGAGCTGGATAACACTGAAGCTTCAGTGTCCACCACATGGTGACTGTGTGAGCATCCACTCTAGAGAGGAGGGGGGGGGGGGGGGGCACAGCAGTTCAATTTAGAATTTGAACTGCAGTACCTATTTTAAACACTAGGGGTCAGAGTTACATACTGCTCCTTTAAGAGCTGCTGTTTATACTCAAATATAGGAACGTAAATTGAATTCATATCAACAAGCTTTTGAGTGTTTCGGTTTGAGTCAGCAGCTCGTCAATACAAAGCACAACACTTCAGTTTGTCCACCTTCAAAATAAAAGCACTAGATGTCATATTGTTTCCAAGGGGAGGCTGAAATTCACAGAGCAAAGAATTATTAATGTGATTATTTAATGTGAGCGCGCTGCAAGCTGACTTAACGGTTAAACTTGGTCACCCATGATCGCTTGTTGGCACCAGAGAAGTTTGTAGCCCCTCTAGAAAAATATGAAAATCCAGGAAAATTTAAAGAACTTCCAGGTTGAAACAAAATGACATTTAGGATGTTTTTACTGCCGTCAAATGTCAAAACGGGTCAAGGCGGACCCGAACAGTAAGTAAAGGTTAAATGTGGCTTTAGTTTTTGGTTCTTAGCTTCAAAAGCTCCAAACAGATGGTCATTGTTACAATGTTCAGCCTAAACAGAAATAAACACCATTAAACTAAATGTTCAGTTCTTCATCACATCACTCCAGTTTTAGCTTCCTGTAAGTTTTAGAATCGATTTTAAGATTTTACTCATTACTTTTAAAGCCTGGACGGGGCTGGCTCCAAGCTATATAACAGAGCTACTGACACCATATGAGCCCGCAGTCTTAGATCCTCAGGTGGGGGCCTCCTGGTCGTTCCAAAGTCAAGACTTAAAACTAAAGGTGACCGGGCCTTTTCAGTCAGGGCCCCTCGACTTTGGAACGACCTCCCTGAGGAGATAAGCCTCGCAGATTCACTCAATTCTTTTAAATGCCTTCTTAAAACATACTTTTACAGACTTGCTTTTATGTGATGTCGTCTTCTTAATGTCTTTTCTTACTGGTTTTACTATTTTTATCTTCTTTTACTTCTTACTGTCCTGTTATTTATGCTCTTTATTTATGCTCTTATCTTAACTCCTCGTGTTTTAACTTGTTAATTTCTTATCTTACTTACGTTGTCTATTTATGTTTTATATTTACTTTTTATTATTATTAATATAATTGTTTTAGTTTCTTGATCCTTTAACCACTTGTTTCTATTTCTTTTACTGCTCTTACCTTATTATTGCTGTTATCTTTTGATTTGCTTTTAGCTCTTTTAGTTTCTTACATCTTTTTACATCTTTGGTCCTCTTGGTCTCAGCTCGTGTTGTTGGGTTCTTGTGTTTCCTGGGTTCTTATGATGGTTCTTGTGATGGTTCTTGTGATGGTTCTTATGATGGTTCTTATGATGGTTCTTATGATGGTTCTTGTGATGGTCGGGTTATATATGTCTGTTGGGTATCGTGCACTATGGGTTCTTTTCTGTTGAATTGTATTTAATTATTTTTGGTATTTTGCATTTGTTATGTTCTTGCTGTTGTTTATGTTCTTCTGTGTTTGGTTTAGTTTGTTCTTGTTTTTGCTGTTTGTCAAAACACTTTTTAAACCTGTGTTTTTAAAAGGTGCTATATAAATAAAGTTATTATTATTATTAATGTCTCTTGATCAAATAGGCGGGTGCATGGTTAGGAGTCAAAGCGCTACGACCTCCGATAGGAAGGTTAGTCATAGCTTCATGGTGGAAAACACTCACATCATCGACTCTCCAAAGGTCACCTCCCAAGCCTTCACTCTGGCCATAACTGATTGCATTCTTTAAGAAATCAGTCCCACTGCTTTCATCCTAAGAAAAAAGAAAATGACAAGAATCAACATTTCAGAGTGCAGGGTACAGGTAAGTGGCCGTGCTCATCTTGGGAGACTGGATATTTTTATATTTTCTTTAACAGGAGTGGTGGTGAACGTGGCACTTACTCTGTCAGTGTCCTGCAGAACTGCAACAAGCAATCGGATGTATTCAGTGGCTGCTTTGAGTGTGTCCACTTTACTCGGCTTGCGGTCTGGGCGCATCAGCGGGACCATGCGCTTCAAGCGGGAGAACATCGTGTTCAAGTTCCTGATCTGCACAGAAAAAAAAGAATGCATCATGAGACATTCAGAAGTTACATAAACATGATTCAAGCCAAGCAAGTGATATATATACACATATATATTATATATAATATATATTTTTTTTTAAACATCGAGATAGAAGCCTGGTCCACACGTAGGCGGACTTTTTTTTTTAAGATTTATTTTCCGGCTTTTGTGCCTTTAATTGAGAGACAGGACAGTGGATAGAGCTAGAAATCAGGGAGAGAGAGAGAGAGGGGGAGAGAGGGGAATGACATGCAGGAAAGGAGCCACAGGCTGGATTCGAACCTGGGCCACCCGATTGGAGGACTACAGCCTATGGTGCACGCGCCACCAGCGCCTCGTATTCTTTTAAACTGAGTTTTTTTCTCCTCCTCTTGTCCACACACGCTCAGTTCTCAAAAACATCTTCGTCCACATGAACGAGTTACGGCCGTCATGAGTTTGCAAAGTCAAAAATGACATGCTAATAAGATCTCGCCAATTCCTCTGCAACGACCATTTTGTTTTACGAAGTTGTCCATTCAGGCGCCTCTTCCTGTCACCATAGTGAGAGCGCTATTTTGGTAAGGAGAGTTTCAGGTGTAAGAAAGGTCAAAGAATATAATTTAAAGAGAGTACTGAGACAGGAAGCAGCACAATAAACTAGTGACAGACATAAAACCAGATCAACATGTCCTGAGTCTCAGAGCAGAGAAGTCATTATTCAAAGCATCTACAACCTGAAGCATCTTCCTCCAACACCTTCAAACTACTTTTCAGAAGGTTTCAAGAGAGCAGCTCAGACACAGATCATCCTGCAGGAACAGCGTTCCTCAAACTCATCTTCCCCATTTCAAGACACACTTTGGGAACAAGATAACAGCGATACATTTTGTGACTGGGTTGCAGAGCTGAAGACTGAAGCTTCCAGCGCCTTTTAACATGAAAACAGTCACACAAGTAGATTCATAAACATAAAGGACATGCCAATACGTTTGTCTATGCATAGACAGTGCAGGCCAGCTGACTGGATCATACAGAGTACAGCGATGAGTCAGGGTGCTAAGATTTGTTATGAACATCAGCACACCATGATTTACAATATCCAAAGATTTTAAGCACTGAGAAGATGCATGTATATATAAACATCAGGGCATGAAAGAAGCAGCAAATCTAAATCAAAATCTAATCTGACTTAGGGAAAGGCGATCTCGTTGCTCTGACAATCCAACCACATTTTCCACTAGGAGACGTCATTAAATGCGACGGGCCGGCGGAGGTTAATGACGTGGGTCTGCCGTGTTGAAACTACAATGTTCAGAAATGGACTACTAAAAGATCATCTAAAAAACTTTCCCCTGTGCCTTCTTGCGGTGAAATAAAATAACCTTAATTACCACAAGGTTGGGATTGAAATAAAAGAAATATAGACCACCAGGCTACAAGTAACAAAAGTGAAACCATCAGCTTCCTGTCCAATCAGAAATCAACATTTTTACGATGTAACATTTTACGTTCATCGTTCATGCGTGACTCGCTTTAAAGAGGTCATATTATGCCCTTTTTGGGGTTCATATATTTAATCCATGTACCTACTAAAGTATGTTCACAATAACTAAAGTTCTAAAAAAGTGTCTGTTTTCATGTCCTGCCGCTCCATGCACCGGCTCGCTTCTGACTCTCTCCCTAAGGCTCTGAAGTGCCCACGTTCAGAGTCCCCACGTGGGCCAAGTCTGATCTGATTGGTCAGCCTGACGGCTCTGCCGTAATTGGTCAGTCGCTCAGCACGGTTCTCGGAAATGTCCGCCTCTTTTACCATATTGGGAATGCAGCCACAGGCTCCGTCCGAGGGGAGCATAAACATTAGCACCTTAGCACTACTGTGCTACGCAGGCTACAGCATATCGTGGCGTGCTACAGAAGTTAACGGCGTGCAACATGAGCTGCTGGCTTACCACAACGAGCC